ATAGCTCCATAATAATGTGTTAGGGTGACAGAAATTTATTAATTTTATTTTTAAAAGTATTGATTTTCATTACTTTGACTATTAAAGATGGTGATAATATAATTATAATATGATATAAAATTATTTTTGTGATATTAAATGAATTTAATATAAAATAAAATAAAATAAATATATAATATTATAAATAGATTCTTGAATAAAAAATTAATTATATAATAATATTATGTTGTATGTTTATAATATTATATGATATTGTAATTATAGTATTTTTTATATTAAAAATAATTAATTTTAATAAAATAATCAATATTTATTTAAAAAATCATAAACTAATAAAATATCAACCAATTAAATTATGTTATCTAATATAATATTATGTGTGCGTAACTACACCTGCAGTCTGAGGGCAGGGACAATGTTGTGCTAGCAAGGCTGTTTAATGTGAATGTTATCAATCTTGTCATTAATCTAATTGCAAAAATGAAAGTGTCGATGTTACATGTATGTCATTACATAATATGAGAAAATATTAAGAAGGTAAATCATATAATATATAATATTAAGAGTAGATTTTAAATGAAAAAATTTAATTATATATATCAGGTTAACCATCAATGATACTGTGCATAATATTATGTTGTGCTTGTGCCCGTAACTTTCCTAAAAATTGAAATAATATCAAGCTTGAGGACATCTGTTGGGAAAAAGAAATATTCAGTGTATATCAACTCCAAATCCAACGAGGGATGGCCAAATGTCGATTTCGATGAACATTGATCCTAAAAGAAAAATAATTGAAAGGTAATTTTTTTATAATTTTTTCATATAATTTATATGTTATTAATTGGCTCATTTTATTTTATTAAAATTTATAATATTATATATTTATTAAATAATATATAAAATTTGTATAAAACAATTATATACATATCCTTACGCATACTAAAAATTGATTAACCAAATTTGATTTTCACCCTTTTTCATGACCGAAATGGATACAAGAATTTCTTTGTCTTTTCAATATTGGATATCGATATTTTTGATTTTTGGAATTCACTGATTTTTCGTTATTGCCTAGGGTATGTTTGGATGAAGTTAGGGAAGGATCGGGGGACGGGAAGGAAAGGGAGAGGAAGAGAAGAAGAGAGAAGAGTTAGTACTAATTTAATTTGGATGAACTAAAATTAAGGAAGGAGAGGGGCAAGGAAGATTATATTTCATTTAATTAAATAAATAAGAAAAAATTTATCATAAAATTAATTAGAATTTTACAATTTTATTTATTAACCACAACTTAAATATTAAGTGAGCTGAAAATAAGGGTAAAATAAGAACAAGTATATTAAATAATACCTTAAAATAAAAATGTAGTTAATTAGTTTTAAAGTCCTTAAATTAGAAAATAAGATAATTAAAGTTGAATAGATGAAGTATGTATTTTTTTTTTCAAAATAATACTCTCTGTCACAAAATAACTATCATATAAATTTTAAATTTATTTTAAATTAATTGTGATTTTTTATCCCTTAAGGGATGTCTAAGTGATTAAGAGATTTAATTTCTATATTGAAAATCCTAAATTGAATATTGAGATGTTTGGAGAGGAAATAATTATCTTTTATTATATAATCTATTGTTTGATGTAAAAAAATTTATATTTTATATTTTTTAATTTAAACAAATACGATATTGTTTTTCATAATTTATTTTTTTTAACATAATTAATTCGAGGTTAAGGGGAAAGGGAGAGGATGAGGATTGAACCCCACGTCTCTAGGTGAGTAGCCCTTTAACGATGTCGAGGTGACCACTTGGATCACCTTGGGCTTCTCCATAGTTTGACTCTATGGTATGGTATCAACTAAATCACCATTTTAAAATTTTTTTCTTAATGATAATAACGTAATTAAAAATATACTCTCTTCATTTCAAAATAATTGTTTTTTACTTTTTCTTCAAATTAAAGATTTAGAGATAATTTATGTATTTATTTACATTATTTTTTAAAAAAAATTAAAAATAAAATAAGAATTTTTATGATAAGATAATTAATTAAAATAAATAAATACTAATATGATTAAAGTAGGGAAAAAATATTTCTCTACTTTATAAAATGAAAAAATGACAGTTAACCTATAGCAAATTCAAAATCAAATAATGGCAGTTGTTTTGAGACGAAGAGAGTAAATTATTTACAAATTCATAATCTATAAAAGTATAAAATCAACAATTAATTTAAAAAGAACAAAAGAAAATGGTACACTCTCAATTCAACTTTAATAATTTTAGTTTGACTTTTTTATTTTTAAAATATAAATTTTAGATAAAATTTTGATATATTATATAAATGATAATTA